TTGTCACGCGCTTAAAAACTCACAGTCGTTGCCAAGAAGCAGCTCGATAGCTTTGGACAAAGAGCTGGGTAGATAATTCAATATCCTTTCCGGGCAATAATAATAATTTTTGCCGGGCAAATATTGCCCGGGCAAAATACTTTCCGGGCAATGGAAAGCAGCTACCCACAAATTGAAGAACTGAAGTGTCGGCAACCACGCACCAGATGCGCCCCTGCCCGGGCCCATATGATCTGGGCAGCCACAGCAGCAGCTACTTTCAAGCTATTTTCCTCTCAACTCGACGCGTAAAAGATGCCTGTTGTACATGAAGGCTATGATCTTTTAGCCGGCAAACGTATGGGGTATGACATTTTCCTCCGCGCCTCAATTTTGAGACTATGATGCCGCGTTACGACGTTACTAAACGCAGGCATATGCTACTTAGTTGCAACAATGTGATAGAACTACAAATACTATCACACTGCTGCAATGTCGTACTGCAACACACAGCTGCACAGTGTTGTGGGAAGAAACCCTACACATGACCAAGGACTCAAGCTGGGCCACTTACAGCCCAGCGGTGAGGTGTCGACACTACTGTCAAAGATCGGTGCTCAATTACCTGATGAGTTCCAACTGTCCGGTCCGTATCAGGTGACCACAAGATGCAGCTGCGGCGCGGCAGCGCAGCACCTGGGTTTAGGAGCTACAATGTGGAGAAAAGTGTGATGTTAATCTATGATACGGTTTTGCAACGAATGCTATCACCACTATTTCTCTGGCATTGGTTATGGGCACTCACAGGCGATGCGCGTCGAAAAGGTATCCAATGAATATGTTTTTGGATTGCGATATTTGGGTCAATGTTATGAGCAACTTTTATCATTGTTTTAGTAAGTGGTGATGCACAAGGTGGGAGTTATCGATGTGGCATCCTCTTGCAGCATGACACAATTATCGCACCAAACCTCTATCAAGATCAAGATAGCTCACGTCGCTGAACGCAGAATTCCTGTTTATCAATATGCCTTCTTTTTTAAGAAAGCGTCGTTTGTACCGTAATATTTGTGTGAGGTCAGAGAGAACGAGGACAATCCTAGCAGCTATCTGGGATTTCAAATAAGCCGCAAAAATACCGCTTTATCACAGGCCTTACACTGTTGCCACCCCTGGACTTGGTGAGCGCCACCGCCTCGTCCGGTGCACGCGAGCGAATCACATGTCCCCTGCAGTCCACCTCCTCTGTCTCGTTCCAATGTCGCACCGCACTGGATGGAGCGTGGGCGAACTGTTCGCGGGGCGGCCGGCCTCGCACCGAACGTCGCAGCCATTCGCGCGTAAATCCGACCGCGTCACACGCTGTCTAAACGGGGCCGAAACTGGGGCCGAGCAAATTGTGTTTGCCGTTGGCGGGCCGCTGCGGTGCGAGCGATAATCCGGCCCATTGCACGGCCGGCGAGCCCCGAGGCGCTTACGGACTAGCGTCGGCACGTCGATGCCGACGGAGAGGCTCGACGGTCGGGGGAGGTCGAGCCGCCGCCAGCGGGCGACGAACGCGCGGGTTGTTTCGCCGGTCCGTCTACAGGTGCGTGAGTGAGATGGGTTGAGGTTGGAGGTGGAAGAGGAAGAGAACGAGAACGAGAACGAGAAAGAGAACGAAAACGAGAACTAGAACGAGAACGAGAACGAGAACGAGAACGAGAACGAGAACGAGAACGAGAACGAGAACGAGAACGAGAACGAGAAAGAGAACGAGAAACGAGAACGAGAACGAGAACGAGAACGAGAACGAGAACGAGAACGAGAACGAGAACGAGAACGAGAACGAGAACGAGAACGAGAACGAGAACGAGAACGAGAACGAGAACGAGAACGAGACGAGAACGAGAACGAGAACGAGAACGAGAACGATAACGAGAACGAGAACGAGAACGAGACGAGAACGAGAACGAGAACGAGAACGAGAACGAGAACGAGACGAGAACGAGAACGAGAACGAGAACGAGAACGAGAACGAGAACGAGAACGATAACGAGAACGAGAACGAGAACGAGAACGAAACGAGAACGAGAACGAGAACGAGAACGCGACGAGAACGAGAAGAGAAGAAGAGAAAGAGAAGAGAGAGAGAGCGAGAGAGAGAAGAGAAGAGAAGAGAAGAGAGAGAGAGAGAGAGAGAGAGAGAGAGAGGAGAGAGAGAGAGAGAGAGAGAGAGAGATAAGAGAGAGAGAGAAGAGAGAGAGAGATAGCTAGAGAGAGAGATGAGAGAGAGAGAGAGAGAGCGAGAGAGAGAGAGAGAGAGAGAGAGAGAGAGAGAGAGAGAGAGAGAGAGAGAGAGAGAGAGAGAGAGAGAATCATTTGCACTGGCTTAGAGATAGGCTGTTCCCATCTAACCGATATACATACCCGGAAAATATAGAGGCACGGACACATCATACTGATAGTTGACCATGTGCATACAATATTTGGAGGGATAGTGAGAAAGCTGGGGTATCATGAACGGGACGCCGGGTTCTCAAGTCGTGTCTGGTAGTAGATATCTGCAGGGATGGTAAAACCTGCAGACTTGGTGATAAGGTCGCCTACAAAAATGCATACGTTCACGGGACGCTTGGCGCTAAAAATGCTTTTTGCAGAACAATTTGGTGATGGCTACAACGAAACAATACAGGACACTGCACAGCCTAACATGTCTCCAAACGTAGTTAGTATGCCTCGATGGCAATACGTTTCGTCAAACAACACAAGCAAACCTTTTCGTAAAGACTCGTCACCGCACCCTACATCACTATGGCATCTTTTTTTGCTTCTTTCTGACCCGGCGACAAAAACATCTTATGATTTTTGGTTGGTCGCTCCACACACTGACCGATCGGCATTAAATCAGTGCATTTCCTATGGCTCGGCCGGTCAGCCCATTCACTACTTTTACCAGTCGACTCTCAGTGTCCCGAACTAGACAGTATGGGATACTGAAAAGATCTAAATATGCGGATTCATCTGGCCTTAAGGGGACGTTTTAATCGTTGCGATGCGACTGATATGACATGGGGGTGACTTCCAATGCACTGCGCCTTTGCAAGCGGCATTCGCATTGCGGTGCCATGAATACCTGCCCAGGTTTAATTTTTGGGCCTTGTTTATTTTACTGGCGGTGCCGCGATTCATCATTCTGTCCTCCGCGACGAGAGACATTGACAGTTAAGGGTATGTCGGGGAGACGATCCGATTAAGGTAGAAATTGGCCCGTGATCACCCAAACCACCTTTCAAGACACCAAAAAGGCTGTTGGCTCACTATAGCAGTCACAAGCGACCAGCCTTCTTCTCTTTAAAAAGAGCCGGGGGTTCGATGTTGAAGTCTGATGGCATACCTCATGACAGGAAATGACAGGGATGTAGGCTATAAGAAGGTAATGAAAGCTGAGGAATGATGTGTTTTAACAAATATAGACAATGAGGTAGCAGGGTACGGGTTCTACTGCCATTTTTATCGCGGAGCTACCAAAAAATGCGAATTTTTACCTTTTGCCAACAGTTCCACTTCAAAAAGGGGGAGGGTTTGCGGTATTGTGGTCTAACTATCCTGTGAGTTTAGTGAAAGATTGGCAATTGGTTGTCTCTGAGGACGATGTTGGCTATTTGCTGATGACATCACCCATGCTGTAACAAGAAAGGTCTGGAAGTGATTCATTCTGCAGTGCTCATTCATATATATCTTTTCTTGTACTTGTGAGCATGACATTCCATGGATAAGAATGTGGTGTTTTTCATTACTGTCTTTGCTAACATTGAATTGAAACATTGTACTGATGGAACCCTTAGCACAATCACTGCATACATTATTGCATAGGTTGGGAAAGCAGACAGCCTTCCTTATACGCAGCCTACATTGATCGAATAAATCTATATAGATAGGATAGTAGTAATAGTCGTATTCCTCAGAGAAGATGGCTTTGAGTTAAAGTTAGCTTTTTCTCATATCCTTTTGCAATCTTCAAGCTAGAAATGTTTAGCGGGCGGGGGGGGGGGGGGGAAGAAAGCAGCATTGAGGGAGCCAAACTCATAATGGAAAATTGGTAGAACCCTGGAAATTAATGTAAATTGACTCACTTGCATAATGCGTGGCAAGTACCACAGATGCACTCAGATCTGCATGCTGCTCAGCATGCAAAGGGCTTGCTGATTGAATTTCTGCCATTGTTTGGATGCTGGCAACGAAATGTGCCATTCTGTTGTAGCAACCAGTGTTTCCATGATCTGAAATGCAGATTTAGCACCAGCATATGTAAAATATATAAGTGAGGGTGGTAGCCAAGAATTTTACCCCTATCCTGATTCCCCGGCCCTCATAAGCCGGACTGTCAGATCTCCTGACGTTTGCAAACTAAGAAAGGTGGAGTCTCGCGGAAGGCATCTCGCGATTGGTTCAAAGTCTCCAGTCGTTAACTGACCCCACCAGGCTAAGGTCCAATTTTAAGTTCCAAGTTCCAAGGTCAGATGTGCGAGGCATCCGTGGTTGTGAGCGGCGCGGCACGTGACTCGTCTTCACGATGCGTTACATGCACGAATTACGGCACCTGGATTAAAGACATGTGATTGTGTTTGTCATGCATAGTGACGCTTGCAATGACAAACAGAAGAGGCTTGTTCAGTGAAAATTTGCAGTTGTGCAAAATTTGTTGCATGGCATACAAGAACATCGCGTGCCCTCCGTGTGGATGTTTTAACAATCTACCCTCAAGTTGTGGTGCCCAAATGCCCCATGTTGTTTGTGGCTCTATTTTGATACGGCATGAAGCTTTGGATTATGCTCCCTGCATAATCGCACACACATGTATCCGCACACATATCAATACGGGCAATGAAGCAGAGAAGGTGGGATAGCACGCGCCCACGCGGTTACCACACGAACATACGTTACTGCTGGTGAAACACACACACCCTTCCAAACAGAGGCTTGATGTCTGGTTAATGGTCTCCCAGGCGTCGTCCGTAACATTACATTTCATTTGGCAGGTGTTCCGGCCTTGAGGATGGTGAAGACCCATTTTCCCCGAAACGTAATCCGAGGTCATCCGGTAAACCTGACCTGTGACTACGACCCGGAGGGCGGTCGAATATACCAGGTCAAGTGGTACAAGGACGGCCAGGAGTTTTACAGCTACGCCCCGGGAAAGACGGACCGGATCTTCCACATACGCGGAGTCCATGTCAATGTGAGTATCGGTTGTTCAACACTTCTCATAAAAAGTGTGCTTAAGCTTTGTATTTTCGGTGTCTCATTACACGGTGTAGTGCGCTTAGAGTGTTAGATGCATTGCTGCCTAAGGAAGTGTTCACCACCTTTCCCGCCTCAGGTAACGTCTCGTCTGCCTCTCAACCATTTGATTTATGCGACACCCTTAATGTTTCATCACATCATGCACCGCGGCCACATGGACCCTTCCCCCACAGCTTCCTCTTCAGCTATCGCAGGCAGCACGAAGGCTGAGCTGATGCTCTTAGCTAAAACTAAGCTGATACACGGATGCACTCTCAGCTGAGAAGGAGCTGGCGCTCAGCGGAACGTGTTTTGGGCCTGACCCAGCCGTTCATTATCGACCTCCGAAGCGGTTTATACTGGCCTGTGTTGACAATGATAACCAATGATGGCGTATTTGCATCCCTCGGGAAGGCCGGATAAGAGCTGTCCGATAAAAAGCCAAGCCACTGCCGACCGGCGAGCTGATAAGTGATGTTTTGAAAGGTCGGAGGGTGTGTGCACACGTGAGTCCGTGTAAGTTTGTCATGCACGCGAGTTTCTGTCAGCAAATTGTAGCTCGTGTCGATTTGTGCTGATCAGTGTTAAAATATGGCGGCCGACGTGATAGTGTCCGCAAAAATGGGACACCACGGGATCGTGGAACAGGATCGTGAACCGCCTTTCATCATCAGCCGCCGGCCGCCAAAGAAGTCAAAGGTAAAAAAGAGCATGCCTGTCTCCCACAAAATGCATATGGTCTGACATATCTTAAGATGAACATGTTGCAGCCAGCAAAAGGAAGCCGGATAATAAATGTGCAGCAATTTCGTTTTTTGATGTTCAGGTACATTCTACCTAATTTAATCTTGTTTTGGGGTTTTTGTGCTTCTTGTTGCTGTTGCTGTGTTTCCTCCTTGTCATGCAAATAGCGTACGATAAAAGCAAGAAGTGGTTTCAAGGATTTCATATTATTTATGTCACTGAAAAAGTGGCAGAAAGGATCCCTTTTTCATGTGCACAACACCCCAATAGTATATTGAGGTCATTTGTTCCAGGCATCCGTATTATACAAAGAATTGTTGCAAATTAATGCGTTAGTTGCACGAGTCAAGATACCATGTAACCAGAGAATACTTGGCTTCTTTTTGATGGAACACCAAGCTCAATCTACTTGAAGAAAATTGCTTTAAAACAATCACCAAGTATACAGACTATGGTAAGGATGCCAGCAAGACGTCAAGTCTGAAGGTATCTTCAATCTTGCACCAATGCTTAGATCCTATGGCGAATTTAGGGCAATGCCTCACCTACCATGCTTAAATGTATAGCCTTTCACCAAATTTAGGCCAACCGGCGCATCCACAATATTTTTGAAGCTTGAGCACATAATTACTCCTCAAATTAGCATTCCTAGTTTAATTTAGGCCAAAAGAGATATTCCAACGGACGTCAACCATAGCTTGCACATTGGGCAATTACTGTACCACTAAAAATTTGAGTACAACATCTGAAATATTATGAATAGTAGTGGTCAAACCGGGTTTCACAGAAAACTTCCTTTAAAAGCCGAAAGCGTCTAATAACGCTGTAACTAATTTACCAGACGATATGAGCATCAGCTTTCACATCATTGCAACAGTGCGTGACACCAATGTAAGTCGGGTGATATGACAAGCTGTGCTATGGCTTACCTCGGCCCATTGCGAACAAAATAAGTATAGAACTGAAAAGCCTACTTTTCGCAATTTGGTAGCAAAACAGAACGTATTGATACCAATGGCGGCACGGCAAGAAGGATACGGAAGGAGCATTTGACCATCCCACTCTCACCACCCGCGGCAGGCAGGGGCAACGATATGTTTTGCGTTATCGCAGCTGTATGAGGCCCTTTTGCCCAACCTAAGGCTCCGTACATTTACATAACTTACTACAATTTAGTTAAAGGAAACCCTATAACTGAGCTAGAAGGAACCAACTTGGTCTCAGAAGGCCTTTTTCTGCATTAAGAAACCCGTCCTCTGGATCATTAGATCGTGTTTATAAATTCAGTAGCCCATGCCCTAGATCAAGAGGCCGTTTTGTGCTAAGAGACCGCTTTGCTGGCTCGGGAGGCATCGGTTTGAACAACTAGGAGAATGCCGTTATAGCACAGGAGGCTCCTTTCATGCATCACACGGCCTCAATTCCGCACCGGGATGTCTTGCTTTGGAGTAATGAGGCCCTTTGCTTGATTTCGGGACCCTTTGTGAATCACAGTAGCCCCGCTTTAGCTTTGAAGGCCCATCCATGCATCAGGCGGCATTGTGCACGCATAGGAGGCCCTGTTTCGGGACAGGAAGACCTTTGACTGGATCGAAAGGACCCCGGTATTATCCAAAAGATCTCTTTTTGGGATGTTTGAGTGTTCGGCATTTTTTGCATGGATGTTGACACATGGAACAGTTTGACAAGAAGCCGCGTGGCCGAAACGCTCTCCGCATTCGTGAAAATGACAGTATGCAAGAGACCCCGCTGTGAGGGGCTCCATTTTGTCCTGGACGCTGGATGAAGAACTCTGCCTCTCACTCAAAACACGGGGTGCCGTCCCTGATTGATGCAGATGTGAAGCTTCGTAAAAAGGACCGGAGAGGGGGGCAGACAATCAAATTCGGAAAATATTGAAGCACTTATATCGACGTAATGGGGAGGGTGATCCCAAGCAGGGAAGGACCCACCTCCCAAGAAGCGACAAAGTCGGGGCTGGCGATTTACACCGGTCGGGCCCCTGTACCTGTCAGGGGCACACAGTGCCCACCAGGGGGTTCTGTATTGGCAAGGGGGCCCGAGACCACCAAGGCCAGTGTTCAGTGAGGCCCGAGCAGGGCCCGGTGGCCACAGAAACTGACGATCAAGAGCCTGATTGGTTGGCACAAGTGCCTGGAGGGCTGGCTGTAAGCCACTTAAAGGATTCTGGCACGCAGGGCCATTACCCGAAATATCAAATAGAAAACGTCTTGCACCGATTGAGGACCCCTGAGACAATGCGGGCGTCTGTGTCGGCTAGAGATCACCAACAACGAGCAAATGTCGGTCCGAACCTGGGAGCCCATTTCCCAAGCAGGAGCCAGGTCGGGGCCCACGATTTACCTTGGTCTGGGTTCTTGAAGCAATGATCTGTGCTCTCGTGTTGGGCTGGGGGCCCACAATGCCAAACACGGGGTCATATGTTAGAAAGTGGTCATAGGTCAATTCCGTGACGGACTTCGCGGGGTGTCCTGTGATAACGACGGGCTTCGTGTAAACCAGGGGAACATTTGCTGGACAGGGACGGGGACGGCACCTCGAATGTTGGAGCCTCATGCTCTGGTCTGGGTCCTCTGACAAGAAAAGGAAACCTGTGAACTTCGCAGAGTTCACATAGAGATAACGGAAGTGCCCTGTGTCAGTCAGGGCCCCCAGTACCGCACAGTGGGACCTCCGGCCCAAATCCAGGCATGAGCCCGTTAACAACCAGGAGTCATATTCCCGCCTAACTGGCGTCTATGCGCCAATTATTGGATCACTTCCAGCGATCAAGGATCTGGCTGCGTCAGTGAGGGTTCCTGTGTCGATCCGGGGTCAACTCCGGGGTTCAGAAGGCCTCCTGTGTCAGGAGGGGGACCAGCGTGATACAACGTATCCTCAAGGGCCTTCGTATCGACCAGGGCACCCGCCCTTGTGTCGCCAAAATGCCAGCGGGAAGGCACCACGCGCTGGGCCGAAATGACCCTTCAACCCCGACAGAGAATGACAATTTGCCCCTAATGCTCTACCCAAGATAGCCCTTGCCAAAACAAAAGTAAGATGTCTTATTGGTGTTGAAAAGAGATAGTCGGAATTCGTTCAGAAATGAAAAAGGCGAGACCATGCATGCAGTGCGTACATTATCTTGCAGAAAAGACTAGTGAAACAAATTACATAAATAAGTTGTGGACCTGCGCACTCGCAATCTTAGCAGCAGGAACAGCGATGGCTGTTTGTACGCTTTTAGTAGAATCGATCGACGTTAGCCAGTAGATGGTATAAATTATTTACAGTTTGTTACGTTCAAAAACTGTTTTAAGAAAATAATATTACGATATCTTCTGACATCTGTTTTAGTATAGAGGACAAAACTAATAAAACGAAAAAGCTTGTCCCTCATTAACAAGTGGCTCATATCTGGTGATTTTTAGGAGACGATTTCACAATCAAGGGATTCTTCGTTAACCCCTTGCCCCCCCCCCCCTTACTGCCATCCCACGGCTCTGACTGCACCCTTGCGGGCGGGCATGTGCCCCTGAAAGGGATGCGAGCTCGTTGATGCGCTCAAGCCCACCGTCACAGCGCAGGTGGCGAAGATGTTGGCACGCGTCTCCAGTTCCTGCTGGAAGAAGTGGAGCTGCAGGCACTGGGGCTGCGCGCCTTTTACCGGCAACAGGCTGCCGATATGGTGGCACACGTTGTCAGGCACCGTGAATGTCGGGCTACAGCCCGGCTGATGCACCGCCTTGCAGACCATGGAAGCCACTGGGAGCGCACTGTTGTAGGCCCGAATGTTGGTGACGAAGTGCCAACATGCCGAAGTGCCGAAGCGTTGGTGAAGTGCGAGGTGCGAGCTGGCTGGAGTCGACCATGGAAAGTGGTGAAAACGACTCCAAAAATTCCTAACAAACGGGTGTCTCCCCGGATTTGGCTCACTTTTGGCTCCCGAAGTGGGGTTGGGGAGGGGGGGGGGGGCACAAATGGGGCGAGCCGCAGCTGAACAGAAAACTACACCACTGATCTAGACGTTTAATAAAATATATAACAGTGTCGTCAAAAATGACCAGTGTCATTCAGCTTGCCAGGGCTGACAAATCCGATATACGAATGGAGATGCTGTTTATTTGGTACCCATAACAACAGCATGGCAACCAGACCTAAGCGTGACAACGTCCGGTAGTCGTGCGACAGCCGGACGACAGTCGCATTGGGCCGTGCTGAGCCGTATTCAGTGGCATCTAGTCCTGTCGCAGCGCCCCCCCCCCCCCCGCGCCGCCGCATGAAAAACGCAGCGTGGGGCAGCACTAGGGTCGATTGAGGTGACGGCACCAGCATCGCCATCATCAGCGCGCCGCGTGATCCACTGAACGGCGTCGACCAAGAGGTCCGGCTCCGAACAGCACGGCCGGTAAGCAGGCTGAGAAAGAGTCGGAAGATTACAGGCGACAAGATGGCGAGGCAGCCTGGTAGCGCAACCTTTCCCGATTCTCTGATAGCACCGTCGCGATGGAAATTAGTAAATATTTTGGAAATTCGCGACATTCGGACTTATCAGAGACGCAAAAAAAAACAGGTCAGCTGCCAGAGAGAAGGTAAACATAGCACACAGCGTAAACGTTGATCAAGTGTAGGTAGGACGTGGGTCCCAGGAACGAGAACACCTTGACTGATCCCATTTAGCAGCATATTATGGTGCCCCATGGCCGAAGATAGCAAAGTTTCCGCAACTAAGAGATCAGAAAGGGCTGCGGGGCACTGCCGTGAACTCCATGCAGTGACACATTCTGGGCTCGGTGGAGGGCGCGGTGGGGGGGGGGGGGGGGGGGGGGGGGGGGGGAGGGCTACCAGCTCGGCATCGACGCACGGACCGGCCGGCGCAGTGTCGATCAAAGTCGCCCGCCTGTTTCGGTGGCATTTCCTCAACCGCGCCACGTCCCTATGAGGGACGAAGCGCGAAGTCACCAACATCTTACCATAAACCATTCCGATCAGTTGGCATGTGGGCTCAGACGAAGTCCCATTTATGTGTCACAAGCAATCCCCCGACACGGTTGGGTGAGCATCGATAATGGGTCTGACAGCGTCCGCACCACAACTACGACACCCCATGCGTGTCAGCACAATAACTACGACACTCCTGGCGTGTTCGCAACATAACTACGACACTCTTGACATGTCCGCACCATAACTACAACGCTCCTGGCACGTACCGTCACGTTCCTGCCTGAGCTCCGGCAGTACTGGACAGTCCTCTAGCCCGGGACAGCGCGCGTGCGACGAGACGTTACTATTTTGGTAGAGTAATGCACGTTCACAACGTTCCACCAGTCGTTCAGACGTAACTAGGCCGGGCTCCGACGGAGAGAGAGAGAGAGAGAGAGAGAGAGAGAGAGAGAGAGAGAGAGAGAGAGGAGAGAGAGAGAGAGAGAGAGAGAGAGAGAGAGAGAGAGAGAGAGAGAGAGAGAGAGAGAGAGAGAGAGAGAGAGAGAGAGAGAGAGAGAGAGAGGAGAGAGAGAGAGAGAGAGAGAGAGAGAGAGAGAGAAGAGAGAAGAGAGAGAGAGAGAGAGAGAGAGAGAGAGAGAGAGAGAGAGAGAGAGAGAGAGAGAGAGAGAGAGAGAGAGAGAGAGAGGAGAGAGAGAGAGAGAGAGAGAGAGAGAGAGAGAGAGAGAGAGAGAGAGAGAGAGAGAGAGAGAGAGAGAGAGAGAGAGAGAGAGAGAGAGAGAGAGAGAGAGAGAGAGAGAGAGAGAGAGAGAGAGAGAGAGAGAGAGAGAGAGAGAGAGAGAGAGAGAGAGAGAGAGAGAGAGAGAGAGAGAGAGAGGAGAGAGAGAGAGAGAGAGAGAGAGAGAGAGAGAGAGAGAGAGAGAGAGAGAGAGAGAGAGAGAGAGAGAGAGAGAGAGAGAGAGAGAGAGAGAGACGGTTTACACACAGAGAGAGAGGGTGTTACACCGAATCACGGTGTCGGAGATGGCGTTAAGCGTCGCGGCTCATGCAATGCCACCGTTGCTGTACGCAGTGTTCGGCACGGATATCGCGCCGTTGCAATCGTCCGACAATGTGCATGTATATATATATATATATATATATATATATATATATCTCTCTCTCTCTCTCTCTCTCTCTCTCTCTCTCTCTCTCTCTTTCTCTCTCTCTCTCCCTCTCTCTCTCTCTCTCTCTCTCTCTCTCTCTCTCTCTCTCTCTCTCTCTCTCTCTCTCTCTCTCTCTCTCTCTCTGTATATAACCGCCATCAAAAGTGCTCAAAGGAGAGGAGAAAGCTTCCTAACGCTTCAACAGCGTAGGTCTGGATTTTCTGTGAAACCTAAATCACGCCTTATCAGACGCCGCGTTCCTCTTCGTCGCATCTCTTCCGAAGTCTGCACATCCAGCCTGTGACGCATGGCCATGCGTTAATTGCAGTTGGAGCGGTCCGCCGGCAAGAGCGTGCAGATCGAGAATGTCGACCTGGACACCGAGGGCCGGTACGTGTGCGAGGTCACCGTCGACGAGTCGTTCGACACCGTCCTCGGGACAGGCGACGTCAGAGTCGTGGGTAAGTTCGCTGAATGGTGCGGGTGAGCTTACGTGAGAATCTGAAGGGGACGTCCGGGAGATTGTCGGTGGGTGACGCATAACTTCAGTGATTGCACTAGAGGGCAGGTGGAGAAGGTCAGGGGACGGCGCACATGCTCGAGTTGCAGAGTGCTGTGTAATGCATGACGCATGTGTGGAACAGTGAAAAAGTTCCATGCGTTATTGCAGTTTTTCATGAACAGACAATCTAATTGAATGAAACAAACTATACTATATTAGGTCGTAATACAATACAAAATGATATACTATAGTACATAACTAGCAGACCCTATGACGTAAAAAGTGTTACGTGATATAAATATTGTATGATGCAATTTAACGAGGTGTAATATAAGGCAAACGCAAGGTGATAAAATATGAAATCATAATCTGGAAAACTATTTCACGTGCCAAGCATGTGTTTCATTCCGCTTCGCCAAAGAGTACATCTTACGTTTAACCGTGCCTCCGTCCCCGAAAACCTATCCGCTCCGGCTGAATGGTCGCATCCTGATTGAAATGGCGGCAGCTCGCGCATCCTACTACTTCGTCCACGATAACTTATGTGTTTCACACCTGATAAGGATGACAGTGATACTGGAGATACGCGGGGGTGGCGAAGCTCAGTTGGGATATCGCCTTTGACCATTCACTTATGACCACGTACAGTGACGTGGGTCGGGTTCATTATTTGCTATTTCGGTTTTAAGAGGCTGATGGGCCCGAGGCATACCTACAAGTCACTCCCAACTACAAATAAGTGGTGGTGAAAAACCTTGATGCGGGGTAAGGAAAAGCTTTTCAGGTTATAGGGTTACGGACAAAAGAAACTGTTTCTTCTTTGAACATATTGAGGCGAGCATCAGATATGATGGAAAGGCTCACCTTAGCTATCTGTATGCTTCAAAAGGGAGTTTTTCATATCAACATGGAGTTTTGCACCGAGACAGCCATTTTGATGATCATGCAACGCAATACTTAAACCCCCTGGTGCCTCAGTTTGACGCACGCTCACTTGTGGTGACTTTCGTGCCAACTATTTCATGGTCATCAAAGGCGAGCATTACATCCGATTTCTCTATTGTTTCTCTTTTATTCGCCTAGGTCAAGGCAGATAGTATCGCCGAAGCATTCACGTCCAACGTATATCAGCACGATTTCTGGCATCAACGGGCTTCCGTTGGCCCTCAGCCAACGCAACGCGTTTGGTGCAAGGTTCAAAGACGGATAACGTTTTGTGCTATTACAGTTCAAGAATCTGCGCTGTGGTTCAAATTATGACGACAATATGACTGGAAAAAAATCATAACCAACCAAGTGAATGCAAGTACACAACAAAAAATAACGGACAAATATGCAAGAACCCCCCAAGAACGGGCAAAAACACGAGCACATTACGGTATTCCGTTCCGCAAACACGCTCCACGGCAAGCTGAAGTACTATAAGTGAGTCAGCTCGTCCGTTACACTGCCAATTTGCACACGGCCAGTCTGACAGCGACTCCGACGTTATTAAGACGTTGCATGACGTAATTAACCGATGACGCATTTGCAACATCTTTGCTTATAGTGAAACCTGGTTGTCTAGACCAGACTTCAGCACTGAAAAGCAAACGGCTGTCGAAAGTGAGCCCACTTTATCATGTCTGATGTTTGCCTTAATCCGCGTCCGGCCGGGGACAATCGCGCCCGGCTGGGAAGAGAAGTTGACTTTTCCCTGGGATCTCCAACTTTCCGACGCCAAATAACAAAAACAAAGATAGTTTTTAAAGGGTTCGTCAACTCATGAAGAATGCACATCAAATTTTTGACTTGAGATTTGCGGTCATCAGAGATCGCGAAAGGTCAGCAAAGTCGTTCCCATAGATGCAGTTAAAAACTGTGTTTACACGCCAGGACAGATATTGAGGGCGCATAAATAAGCGTTAGGACTGTGAGAACTAAATTACGACCATTTCCTGTTCACCTCAGTGGTCAGGTCCGATCAGGCTACCGTTCAAAATTGGTCTGCCAGTGGCCTACAACAGTCATACTTTCTGCACCGTGCTTCTGACAAAATTTATTTTATAAGGTGCGGCTGTGGTATAGACGGATGTCAGACAAAAACGCCATGCTATGATGACCCAAAGGTCATTTGAGGTCAGCTTAGGTCGTAATTCTCAATCATCCAAACGAAGCTAACAGGATCTATGTGACGAGTACGATACTTGTCTGCGGTCAGAGCTAGTTTATTGTACAGCACAGATAAGTCGGTGAATGAAGTTTGCATCACCAGCTTTACCAGCACGATGCGGAGGTGGTAGCACCCGTCTCGCGCGTTCATCTAGCCTATCCGCTGCTGGTTTACATAGGTCATTGACGTTGGATGACCTCGTCTAACCTTGCATGCACTGACGTGACCTATTGTGTCGTCATTATGCCTTAGAATGATATAACAACATGTTCCAGTGGAGGAGTCTAATTCTACGTCGAAAGTTACCTGCTAAAACGGCCTATGCTGAGCGCAGCATGTGTTTTTCAGAAAGTGTGCTCATGTACTCTGTGATGATACTTGGTTGTGCATGCAAGCTAGCAATCTGTTCCTTATATGTAGGCACCGAGACCACACAAACATACATTCAACCTTACGCTATGCGGAAAAATTAAAAGTAGAATGAATCCCCCGACCTCAGGTCACTGACTTCGCCTTTTCCAAAAAAAAATGAAATGCACAAACTTTATGTACCATCATCATCTATTACTATAACAAATTTGAACAAGGGCAAATGCCCTGCAACAACGCTATGTGTGGTTAGATTTTTAGTGGTTGACCGCTTTGACCTGACTTGGGTCACTGATTTTGATAGATCAAAATAATTAAGCATGCACAACATATGACAAATTGATAGATGAACAGGTACTGCAAGTTTCGTGCAGCTGCCAGCGCTCGATTTTGACCTGTGGTGGAAAAAGCATAAGAAAAGTACATTCCCTCTAACGTACAAACGCAAAATACACTTTCGCTGTTTCATCAATCTTCCCAATATGTTATTGTTCACGTGCGTCATGAAACGCTTTTATGACATGATGGTCACTACCAGACTAGCCGTGTCGGAGTTGCCACTGTAGCGGAAGGCGTGATTCGCGTATGGTACATTTATGCGCCGCAAGGTGGCGATGGTGGCCTCACCCTGTAAACTATCCTTCTAGCCTTACGTGCGAGTGCTTTGTCTTTGTTCGTGGCGTTCTTGCATACTTTTTTCGTGTGGGCATGGTTCTGTTGTATTTTTTTAGGTTGCATTTTTGCAGTATTTTGTATATATGTTTTCATATTTCTCATCTTACATTTATTTTTCTTACGACCGCTTTTTGGATTACGGTATTTATATATTTATATTTTATATATTTATATATTTCTATTCATATTATTGGATCACGGTACTTAGTATGATTCTTAGCGATATGTCTGCCACAACTAGCAGTCGCCCAAATACCTGCGTTATTGATCACGAAACGCGGTGACAATGGATCTTGACCGAAACATGTCAATGGCAGCTCAATCTGATCGCTAGGCAATGATCTTCTGCCGTTGGGACACTTGATATCGACTCGCGGCACACACAAATATTTCGGTGGTCGTGTTTTTTATTGACTATGATGACAACACAGCCAATAAAGTGAGTATGTGTCCAAGACATTTCTATGGCGTTATGTATTTCTAGGTGGCTTTCAAACAGGCTACGCGAAATACGCTGCAGAAGCACAGATCGCCCGTTAAGCTCATAAACCAGAGGGTTTGAAGTCTTAAAGGGGGCATGGCTGTGAACTGCAGGTAATGATCTTGAAATGGCTAGCTCAGTTCAAAACCCTTTATAAATTTGGAATAGTCCCTTAAAGTGATACGTGTTCATACACATAAAATGCCTACCTTTCATATACCAGTGAATACTGAGTAAACGAAGGCACCAAGCCATCATTGGTAAATATTATGAGAACCCTGAAGGAAATACTCATGGCGATGAGTGAACGATATTACATAAAAACGTCGTTGCAAAAAAGGCGTGCAGAAGACAAAAGGAGGCAGACAGAAAAATGCACAAAATAATCATTGCTTAGCTTATGTACCCAATCATCATGCACACGCCAATAGTATGCATAGGATTAAATACACAAGTAACCGACAGAACCATTCAGTTAATTACGAACATTCCGGTCCACAGCCATCTCCCATGGTATGCGACAACACGCCAGACTCCGGCGGCACGTGGTGGGGTCTTTGGGCGAACAGAATGGTTGGGCGTTTGGAACGATCTGGTTGACATGGAATGGCCAGCTGTCAGCTGACCATAGAGCTCAACCTAGGCCCGATGCGACCATGCTGCAGGATTGTGCAGCAGGTAAAGCTCTCAGTGAGCTAGAAGCGCTTTTGAGCTTGGGTGTGGAGTGAAAAATGTAACCGAAAAAGACCGTACAGGAGTTGAAAACTCAGTTAGAAAGTTGTGACATATGAACGAGTGACAGATGCCCAGGCTAACACAGGCATGGCTTTTAATTTGACGTAAAATAATTCTTATGAACATGACCAACATAAGATATAGACTAAACAGGGCCAAAAATATTTTTGTTTTCACGCATACTAGGTCATTATGCTGGCATATGAAAGGACAGTAACCTCGTAATAGTGTTATGAGCACCAATAAGTTTTTAACACTAATGTTTTGATGCTATGGTTTGCCCTTTCCTTCCAAAAGATTTTAAAAAAAAACACAAAACACGTTCCTGACTCCTCTTATGTTCCCTTCCCTTTCAGGGTCAAAAATCTACCCGAGACTGCGCCACTGATCCCGTTCAATTCCCCGCAAAAGACAGCCCTGCCCATCCATCCATTGTCATTGAAGTCCTGTCATTGCGAACGCAGATTGAACTAAGCCAGGGACCTGTTCCTGACAGCTGCATCGAGCTATAAGCTTAGCGTCTTGCGATCATACCTGACCAGCTGTCGAATTGATATAGTTGTTGAGCGTAAACAAGTCATCCGTGTAACGGTTTCGCACCGTGCGTGATAGGTGGAGCCTAGTGCTCCTGGTGCGTCAGCCTCATCGTGTAGGTACGTCCGCCAGAAGCATCTGTCAGTGGCCTGTATCGAACTTGTGTTGTATGCTTATGTGGCATATGCAAACAGGGCAGTGTGGCATCGAGTAAAGACGTTCAATGTTATCTGGTAGAAAAACGCGATGTATTGAACCATTCAATGCTGGTGATTTGTGCATTTCTTTGAGCACGCGATTAAAACTCTTGCACGCCTGTCGGGCGAAGAGTGAAGTACTTGGGGATTCGTCCAGTATGCATGCAAACCTTACTTTGTTAATGTTCTGAACCCACAGTCACCTGTGCAAACTATTCAGAGCAAATTCATAAAACACATGTGTGACATTATCACGCATCCGGGCATCAAACTGAACACTGTCGTAGAACGCCGTTTTGCCGCCCAGGTCTGTTGAGCGCTCGGATGTCTCCCAGTCTCGTGCCTCGAACACATGCTGACCTGTGTTTCTGATGCTGCATCGCCAGAACCGCCACTGGCAGGCCCCGTGATCGCTGGTGAGCACCGTCATACCATGGAGGAGGGTGATCATGTCCGGCTCAACTGCACGTCGTTCAGGTCACGTCCCGCTGCCACGCTGACCTGGTACATCAACGGAGCCAGGGTAAGGGCGTGATACATCATCCGGCATGTGAGCGAAGCCAGGCTGAGCATATGGTAGATGACTTGGTGTATGAACGAAGGGCTGTGTGTTGGTAAATTACCCAGCCCAATTATGGAAGGGACCGATGTGCCCATACAGTATGATGTTGTGCCTGAAAGGAACAAAACAGGTACGGGTAAAGAACTGGAGATGCTACTGCATTGATCATCAATATTTTGTTTTCCGTAATACCCAATGCTGATAGTCAGCTTGGTCCGGAATGAAGGCAATAAAGAAAACAAGATTTGTCTTTACCTTTGTCTTTGCCTTTGCCAGGTCTGCGTTAATGGTTAACGTGGGTCGCCGGCTGCGTTAATGGTGAAGGTGGTTAATTTTTATGGCTACAGTGGTTGGTAAACCATGGGTAGTAAAATATTTTCATAAGTGCCCGCTGCAGTTGTAAACATCCGTGGATCAACGAGCGACCCGTCAGATCCCGTGAGCATCAACTATCCGAAATATCTATTGGAGGGTATGATACGGATACAGCGACACCCCCCTAGCTATCATGCCAAACAACATTGGGTGACGGAGAATGGACCCATGCATTGATCATTGCGTAGGCTGTCGAGCTGTACTTATCTTTGGTGGTCAGTTTGTACTCGCTGAGGCAAGTCTGGACCATTGATGTTATCTGTGCTTTGTTGGTAAAAATGCGTGTTATTTATGTTACGCTCATAACAAAAAAAGGCCAATTTTTAAAAAATCAAGTAGGAATAATTCGCTCATACGTCAAGGTCATAAGTCCTCCACAAATACACGTGGCAGGTGGTACATTGCAAATTTAATAAAAAGAAAACTTAAATGAGTTATAGACGAGTGGTCTGATTCAGGCTGTTTTTAATTAAACAATGGGTTGCACACCAAACAATTGGCCTACCCTGGTGGGTTTACATATAACTGTCACGTAACATCACATGCGATGTATTACGCCCACAGCAACATTACACTTAATACGCACCTGTTCGTTAGTTCTGTTTTAGTATTACATTTTGACAATTTTGGAAGTGGTTACACTTTTGTCCTTCTCGAGACCCCTTTTTAGCGCTAGCGCTTTTTGGACTGGCACCAAATTGGGCCCAGCCATATCCCACAGGAACCTTATTATGAAAAGGACAAAAAATAAGACACATAGGGGCGACACACGGCGTTTTTTGCCAGACTTATGAATATAAACCTGTTAACTTTACTCGGCAAATGCTTTCGTCTCGTCATCGTGTCGCTATTCTTCAGTTTACGTTTGTGTTTGTAGTTCTATGGGACCAGATCATAAAGTGCTGCGAACATAAAACGACGTATAGGGGTAAGATGACGGAACAAAAATCACTCACGTAATGAGAGTTACCAGTAAAAAGCAGCTTTACCTTTCAAACATACATATATACGCTACAAGCCAACAACTTACTCACGAACCTGTCACGTTTGTCGACACACAGCTGTTAGGTCATTGGTATTGATACTCAAAAGATGGACGTCACCCCTTTTTCACTACTGCAAAGGGAAGCTATTTCATCGACCTTTTCAGAAAATAAGAGACTCCACCTAGACGTTGGGTCTAATCCAAAAGATGCCATTTGAAATATACTTAATACCAGGGTGCACAACCGGAATATTGCCCATTTAAATATATGGAGGCGAGCATCGGATCTGATGGAAATAGTTTGCTAGTAACTACTGTGTGTTTTTAATGGCAAAAATTGTTCTAGACAAATGCATTTGTTATTAAAAAATACGGTCCTCAATGTGTCACCATTTGATTATGTCATAGGGAGTTTTATGGCGTCAGAGTCCCTGTCAGACCGGGCGTGTCAGAATTGTCACTAGCGGACGGGTTGACTCACTTGTAGTACTTGCATTTGCCGATAGATGGTTTCTTAACGTGCGCTCAGGCAGGAGGGGTCCATCCCACCCAAACGACTTGCCAGAATATTATCCGAACAGCACGGCTTAGTCGCTCCAAACTTTGCATAGCTTTAGACGATTGAATAGCGGATCTTTTGGCTTAGCACAAATGAGGTGTACGTTGTAATGTCGCTGACCTTGCGTGTGCCCGCAGTGGATGGTCGTAATGACACTGATTCCGAAACGAGTCCGTAATGATCTAGCATCGTATTTGCCATGTTGGCCAGGCGGTGGATACTTAGGCAGGGGTGACTAAATATGTGAAGTGATGTGTTAGGATACACAGTTAACTACGATGACGGTACAGATATAGCTGAACGCCTTTGCCGAACATTTTGTGCAGCCGCCTATGGACGCATGGTCTTCGTGTGCTGAAAGCAAACAAATTTCTGCTGAAAAAGAGAACAAGATTACGCAAGCAAGATTCTTCGTCACATCAACTAGCCAGATTGGTCCAAGCTGAAATCGGCAGCGCCGCACGAAGCCCGCCCATCAGAGACGAGTTGTCCGTCAGCGATGGGATCATCTGACGCGAAGAGAGGCGTGCCATTCCGCGCAATCTCCGGGCGAGAAGTAAGAGGCGGTAAAACGCCACCCACATGTGACGTCACTCTCACAATGTGACGTCTACATGTCACGCCCTCACAAGCAGCAGAAAGAACCGCTGCTGCAGTATCACATTCCGGAGAGACGAGACCGTAGCAGGTGAAGGCATCTGACGTCCTCACCTACCAGATACAGGACTGCTTGTACAGTTTAGACTACCAATACAGCTATTTCGAGACTGACAAGCTGCCCGGAAAGACAGCACGTGACGTCATCGCCGTCCCTCGCAGGCACTTCCCGATATGCATTTCGGAAAATTTTCTCTGACAACAACACTTTTGGGGCTGTTGAGTTCCAGGGGTTCGCGAAGAAGCTCCCTTTGAGCAGCGTGACATTATCATCGAAATACCCTCCAGCCAACGGGAAGCCCGAGAGCTCCGTGACGACTGCCGATCGTTTCCAGAAACGGGCTCACGAGTCAAGGACCCATGCGAATCTTGCTCTGGTGGATTGGCGGAATATGTTGCTGGAGGGCAGAAGTGCGTCACCGGCTCAATTTTGATGTTCGGGTAGCAGATAAGCACGCTCCTGTCAGCTGCCCTCTGTCAACAGAAGTCGTCTGGTCCAACGGCTGCGTGAACGTGGGGTGCACTGGATTGCACAAGTGTTAAGCGGGCTCAGATGTGCACTCGCGGAGACAGCTGATAGATAGCTGGATAGATAGATGGCTGATAAATAGATAGAATAGATAGGGATAGATAGGCCTTTACCAGAACTCAAAGTAGAAGTAACGTTGGGGTGCAGACCGACCGTGGTCTGCGGGCAAGGCGCCGCCTGCAGGCTCGAACAGCTGCTTCCCGAGTCTCCCTCGTCTTTCCTGAGCACAACTCTCAGATGAGACGGAATCCGAGGTAGCTGCGGAAAACAGTCGATCCGTTCCGAGCCAACACGGAGTCCTGCAGTCCGGTGACTCCGAGAGCAGCTGACGCCACCGCCGGGACTTCGCCTCCACAACCTAACGACGCGGGCGAGCTGAAGCTGACTGCCTCGCGCGGGATGTCCCTTGACAGCACTCCGGCGGATGAATCACCGTCGCACACCCTACAGTCTCGAGCGTTTTGCGATGTTCGCCGTATCTGAGGGATTTGGTTTGAAAAGAGTGTTTCACATTTATATGGGATTTTGAACTGAAATGGCCACGTAGAAGACCTTTCGGTGCAGTTCACAGCCTTGCCGTCCTTAAAACGTGGACCCCCCCCCCCCTTTTCTGAGCTACGCGCCCGCGAAAATGGGGAGATTACTTCGGGAAGAGTATCTCCAAGAGTATCACTTTGGCATTCACGTCATAATAACGGCACTTAACCCCCGTTATTTCATACGCCATGCGGCGATCAAGGCGGATAAAAAATAATTGTCGAGTCGTTGAAATCTGGCGTTCGTGAATACGATTTCCAGATAAAAAAGGCCGTCAATTGGTTTTCAGTCAGCGCTGTGCAAGGTACGATGACGCAATGAAAAAGTGGCGTATCGAGGAGCGTATTTACCAGGCAGAGGAATGGTGGTGCCTGGAACAGTCTTTTTTACTTAAAAGTATACCAATAGTTATAAGTGAGCTTCTTCCATCATACCTGATGCCTGCTTCAATATCTTCAAATGTGAAACATCACCGTTAAAGTGGAGAAGCGCAAGCGTGACGGGATGACACTGCGTTGGCGCAACACAAAGTTAAGTTGATAGTTGCGAACTGTACGAAATATGGTAATATTGCTGAGGTCATTGTATGTTATTGACCGGCTATTTGTGTGAAAACGAAAATTGCATGACTCACTCCTGCCCTAATAATCGTTGAGGAAGTCAGTAAATGCACTGGGGTCTTTACCAAGGCATGCGTAAAGGAAACATTGCTCTCTTCATCTTCCAATGCATTGCTCCGACATCTCAGTTTTGTGCTATCGTTGACAAACTCTGGACATGAGGAGACCTAACTCTCTTTTTAAAATTTTTCATCTGCATATCAAAGGAAAGTCATGGAAAGACGAACTCACGGAAACGCACACTTGAGAGCCAACGTGTTGTTATGGCGCGAATACCGACGTTTGTTGATGACAAACATTGTCATTGGTTCACACAACCGCGGCCATCGTGTGATGGTTAGTGCCACTTATTGTCAGGTAGTGCCCACGTTATAATGGATGGAGAGAGGGGTACAGGAACAGAAGGATGCACTTCAAAACCACATTGCATGGCCTCGTGGACCTTCGGGCATTTACAGCGATGTGTATCAGTCAAACGGCAGTAATCTTTCTTTCCCACAGTGTGACAACGTGTCCTTGCGGAGCTACCCGGAGACGCTGGCGGCGGACGGACTGCATACAGCCACCCTGGGGCTCGACTTCCGGTTGCGGCAGGCCCACTTCAGCCTCTCCGGCCAGGTCGTCCTCAAGTGCACGGCCGAGATCGAGTCGGTCTCCTACCAGAGCGAGGACGTCCGCATCTCCAGCATGACGCTGGCAAGACGAGCTCAGCCGAACGCAGGTAACTCGAACCACGAGCATGCTTCGAACGGTGAAGCGGTATGCTTCACGGTGCTTCAGGGCCAACGATTGCTTGTGATTGCATGCGGCCCGCTTTAAGACCCTGTTTCAAAGCAAACGGGAAATGTGAGCAACACTGGAACTGTAAGGGTACAACGGACAAAGCGTTAAACTGAAACCACGGTGCATCGGATCTGAGACGTACATTTGGGTGATAATAATGAATATACCTTTGCCGACTGCTTATACAGAGCTGGCTATGAGGCCTGTTCAATAAGCTTGGTTGAAATCATCAAGGGGCTCAGCGCCCCTTCACTGAGACCCACTTAAATTACTAAGTCAACTGAAATTATTCGTGTTAACGAGGATACTTTTTACCTTCTGCCCCCTTCGAAAACAATGTAGCGTCTGTCCAATAGTGTTGTGTCAGCGAATGTATGCATTCGATGTTTGCAGTCGTTCAACAACTCACCGTCAAAGCGCGATGTTGTCATTGCGGGCAGAGTGGAAATCCCCGACCCGTTACGCTGCTCTTCAAATGCAGTTTGCAACCACACCACGCTTTACACGTCTCAACCAATCCAATATGGCAGCTCCCGTTCACGGGACCACCGAGGCGCTCCAATCCTTTGCGCTGCCAGATGGCTTTGGCGCATCGGCTGAGATATTGCGCGACGCCAATACTCGCACGGCGTCTGGATGGCCTCATTTGTCAGAGACAGACACGCTATATCCAGTGCCAGTTTCAGCGCCTGGACTGTTCGTCAGTCTGCGCCGTCTCGACGCTGTCTTGGCGGCGGTCGGCAGCTGTACAGTGCATGTGATGCATTAACCGCCGCTCCCGGGCGCCGCCGCCCGCCAGCGTTATTGTCCCGCCTGGTGACGACGGCTGCAGGCTGATGACCACTGTGCCGCGATTGAGGGAAACGGCGCGGTTTGTCACGTGTTGCGCAGAGCCGTCCAAGGATGAAACAGCCTAATGCGAACAGCAGATTTGTTGATACAGATGCTAATGCTCTGGCGATGCGCTGCTGAGCTGCTCTAAACGATGACTCGATGACTTTGGAAGGCGCCGTGTCCGAAGCATCTTCACTTGGCGTCTCGCAGCTTGTGATATACCCTTATAGCCGTCTATGGTCATGATGCTGTTACAAACTAGATTTGAGGGGCTCTGAAATCACGTTGCCGCGATAGTTACGTTCCCGTTCAGATGCAGTGCACAGCCACCGCACGACGCACACATCTCGCACAACCTAGTACGAGGATTGCTATTCGCGGCACGGACAAATCGTTCTTTGTTATTCCGTGCGATTGAACATCATATTTGCTCTCGTCCGACATCATCCCCCCCCCCACGTTCATGTAGCCATGAACTACTTATTCGTTTATTGTTATTTATTATTCCGTGCGAAATCACATCATGTTTGCTATCGTCCGATATCATTCCCTCCCACGTTCATGTAGTCATGAACTCCGCCCCGCTCTGTGATGCCCACTTCCCTGTTTAACAGCCCCCCCCCCCCCCCTCCATACTGTTTCGTGATCGTGGCCGCTTACACTTCGTCATCGGGCGTTGCAGGACATCGCTTCGTGCCGACCAGGTCGATGGCTGCACTGACGGGCGTACTGCTCGTCGTCCGGTGTGCTCACGCGGCGTAGAGTGCCCGGCTCTCAGACTTGACCGTCTTCACGGGGTGGAGGGCCCCATGTGCCATACTGTCATCCTGTCACAAAGCCGTCGACCCATGGCTTAGCTGATGGAAATCACGCGGCAGCACTGACGTGCTGATACCGTACTGTCCTTAACTGTTCGAAATGTGACGACTGACGTCATTCAGACATCATACTCAAGTCAGGAGGCTGGTAAGATAAAGGGTCGTGGAGGTAACGGTATGAACACAGTTGTACATAATCGGGCATTCCCAGTGCACGAGACGTCTGCTGATAAACATGTGCGCGAGAGATTTTACTGTGATAACTGTTGAACAATACTTGTGCCGTGATTAAGTGTTGTAAATATTTGTGCCGTAATGAAAAGCTTCCAGCTTATCCGGGTGGTTACCACAATAACGGCTCAACGACGATAATTCCAGAAGTTATGTTGCATGAGATGTGTATTGTATCTGTGTGTGATGTGTTCTTTGTTCATTTCTGTGCAAGCGGCATGGCAAGGGTACTTAATAAATTGTTATACGGGCGAAGGATTTCAGTTCCCTTAAGCTGTTCTGCCACGGTCCGCCACAGTAGGTAATGCAAATCGTGGTTTGTTATCTTTCTTATATCTTCCCCACAGCCGCCTCCGTGGTCTTGGGGAAAGGTGGTGGACTCGTAATCCAGCGGCACTGGGTACGAGTCCTAGAGCGGGCGAATGGTTTTGCCCGACTGAAGTGGAAAGGTCAGCTGGTAACTGGCCAACGAGGGTCAATCCAGGCCGGGGCGGCCGCGCCGCAGCATTGTGCGGCACGAAACCTCCGCATTCCTGTCTAGCAAAAGGGCGGATACAAAATCATCCGCTGAACTGGACATCGCGACTTGGGTGGCGGGTTCTGGGTACATGCAACAAGCTATGTTAGCAGATACTCTGAACCCGAAGCCACCCATGCAAACCATTCGGAGCAAATCTACATACAAAAATCAAGAAATTACATCAAGACAGGGGAGGCGTGGTAGGCCGACGCGCAGCAATGAGAGGCACAGGATACCGACCTCAAAATGGAAGTGTTTACAATAGGTGAAGACGATGCGGACTCCAATACTGTATAATCGTACCACATTCCTATTCTATCGTGCAAAGGCATCACCCGATAGGTTTATATTTGGCGATTTTGGGTGTTCGATGCCACTTGATTCGCCTTCTCAAGCTAAATTCAATTATTTAAACCATGAGGTGAAATTTTCACAAGCTTTTAGCCCTTTCTTGAGCAACACTGAGCAAACACTGCAAATTTCAATTAATGGCTCATGTAACGGAATTCTTTTTGCGATCAATCAAATAACATCAAAACGCAAAATCATCAGAAATAAACATGCGTTTTCGCATTTGGACGGCAGTATTCTAGACCAGACACCTACCAATAGAACAAACAAAACATCACAATATAACATGTTACGTGGTTCTCCTCGCGCAACTGTTTGTGGTCACCAATGCAAAATGCCAGCGTCATGTTTAGTCGGTATCCTTGGCTGACTATTCTAGTGGTACAACTGCGTAATAACAGTTGGCCCACGATACATGTTCCATGGTGTTTACCAACATCCAGGGAGCTAGAATCGCTTTTGAAATAGGGTGGGAGTGACAAATCCCATCCCATTTGTCTTATGACAAAACTCGATGGATTAAAACAGAAAATGGATAACTCTGGGTACTAATCATGTGTTGAAAGTAGGTAATGTAAGCAACTCCCTGGCCCACAGGATACTTACTGGCTTCTTTCTGCTCACCCCAAAACAAAAAGTCACTGATTTGACGTAAAATTTATTAGCATTAGTGCTGAAATGGTGGTATTTATCTTGCAAATTTAATTTAGAGGACATTTCTTGAATTTTTCACTCCTGCATTTCGAGAGCGATGCAATTTAGTGGTCAAGTTTTCTCGGGGAAAAATACGCGGAGTAAAATTCTCTCCCAGGCCTTGCTGGTGTTTGCACCAGGCTCTGCTTTCGTGGTGTGGTGGTGAGACAAAAAAAAAAAAAATAGGGGATCCGTGAAAACCTTGCATTTGGCACACAGGTGCCGATTGTGATGCATTTTGTAAACAAATCAAGCGTGCGTGCAAGCGGCTGGAGCCGCTTGGATTCTTGGGCTTGGAGGTACCTGGCGCCTTTGCTCTGTGCATACATAAATATAATTCAGATGTAGGTGAGGCAGGACATAGCCATAGGTGTCTAAGTTCTGTGGAGCCTCGTTTATGCTTGGTGGTTTCAAGCGAGCTCGGTTTTGAATGACATCTGAAATCCTCAGAAAGGGAAATAGGGGTTTGGCATGTGTGATCAGACAATGTCAGGCAGAGGTGAAAATTCACATAAAACAAGGGGAAAAGGAATGAAAAATTCCCCCTCATAGGGTGCTGCATTACACCCAAAGTCGGCAATTCTAGGACACTGTCAATATGACCTTCTCTGTCCTGGATATTTGGTGTTAGGTAACAAAGCATAGCATTCGCACCCGCCTACCGGTTCGGTTCAATAAACACCTTGGAGACGTACGGTTAACGAGACTCTACACGCCAACCAAGGTCGATTGATAACCGGACACGCAGGAATGGGAGAAACAGAATACCAACTTCAAGGTGCAAACGTCGACAACATCTTAAGACAACGCGGACTCCGAGTCATTACAACCGCTCCGCAACCCTTGTTTTCCATCCGTGTCTGGACACACAAAAGTCCTGGGGCTTGATTCGAGTAAGGTTGTTGAGGTCATACACGGCTACAAATAATTTCTTATCCTCCATAGTAATAAACACTGATACTCGCACTGGTCAAGACATCACCTGTTGGCCAACGAAACAAAGTCCAGCGAAACACCAACCGTCTATGATGACGTTTCAATGACGCAAATTTCAAATTGCCAAATGAACTCCGACAGGGACTGAGAACGTATGACGTCTTTTTCGTCCGTCTTCCCCCTCCCACCCCCCACCGCCCTCTCACTCTTTTCCTCTCCCTTTCTCCCTTGCTTTCCATATCAGAAGATGGCGGAGGGTGAAAACGTATGCTCCCATTTCCTTGTGCACACAGGTTAGACGATGAACGGTAATATACATGACATTGCCACAAGGTTTATGGCTATCATCATGTTGATATTAAGACCAAGCCTCACGCCGATGGTGATGTGCGAAGTTCGTTGTCATATCAACTCCCGTTCTCCACAGTTATTGTGCTGCTCTGAGGCTTTTTTCAGTAGAACTCTTTGGGTTTGTAAAACACATACCATACTCTACTATGTCAGATTCCTTAATTCCGGCCAATTTACCTTAATGGAAGCGTTTCACACTTGAACGGGATTTTCAACTTATATTTCCATTATACTAGGAAGTACGAGCGAAACAATATTGCCACATGCTGCTGTTTTAGCATTGCAAATCCGGGGTTCTAATGGCAATAAGCGGCCATCAGCATACCTGCCTGCAACGGGGATTTCACCATGGGGCGCCAAGAGATCAACGGAGCAACAAGAAATGAAACGAACTGAACCTTGGCTCCATGGACGGTAATATTGGCACAGGTAATTTGTGTTCTTTTAATGAAGGTGGCAGATTCTGGCGAGTGATATGCATGGATTTGATGACACACCTACAGAACTGCTGTTATGCCCATTCATTTGACATAATAGCGCCAGTATGGTCTACAAACTGCTTTGAGAAAAAAATGCATCGCCAGAAACCTAGTGGATTTGGTGCTTTTGGCACCGTAGGTGGACGTCTACCGAAACTGGAAATTCTCATGCGGTGCAATGGCGTTGTTAAGTTTATCTGAAGGGGTCTGAGGTCTTCGGTACCTAGCTGTGGCGCTGTCTATGGCAAGGTACTTCATCGTGCTCTGACTGAGTAGATCATTCTCTTCGTAATGAAATTTGTATCCATACATTTATTGACAGATCGTTCAACGACCTTCTGACATCGTTTCTCAGTTGCTTGACAGATAGCCAAACCAGCAAAGAGAATAAATAAAATATTTCCCTGATCGAAGCAGGCGTGCAGCCTGGAAGTTTTCAGAGAGGGTCCGATGTCTCCTACGGTCCCGTCCCATGAGACTGAGCTCCCTGCGACCACCCCTTTCTGCTGTCTACTGCTACCCATGCTCCAGTGGATCCCGGAGGGGCCTTCATGTGCTCGTTGTGCTCTTAACTTGAAGAGGCGCAATGTGGTAGGCAATAAGGGGAGAGTGGCTTGGGAGCCATCCCCCTGGAGGTCGCGGAGGGCACCTCGCCAATTTTGACGGTTTACAACATCCGTAGGACTTTTAAAACATAAAACCGTCTCCAAGGGATCAAAACAGGATCCTGAGCCAAAAAATCCGAATTAAAAAGGAGCTCAGGGTCGCATTTGTATCGCATATTTGTTCAACTGGAGATCGCCTTAAGACGACTGGACCTTAGGAGAGGTCTTTGTGAATGTCCAGACTCTCGGAGAAAGACAATTGTCAAAAAAAAACAAAAACAAAAAAAACGGAGCGACAAAGCGGGGTCCTTTGGCTGGAATGATCCCCTATGACCCGATTTGTTGTACCCTGGGCCAATTCCTGGCTACGTCATTGAAAAGGCTTGGATAACCCTTGGACCTGAAAGGCTCCCCCATTGAAGTTGAAGACTCTGCAAGTGGCCCTGTTTTTAGGTTCAAACGTTCACAAGCTGGGACTCCTTGCACATAAGAGAGGGCCGTTTTGGAAATCACAACTTCAGGAAAACCACGGATTTCGCCCACTTTGTTTTCAAAGCGGGGATGGGGAGCTGAAGCCCAAATGGGGGGGGGGGGGACTGCTAACGTTCCCTCTGATTGAATAATTTAACACACCCCTGTTTATAAGCTAATGTCACAGCAGGAAGCATGATGCAAATATGGTTGGATTGGTGCCGCATCCATACTTTTGTGGAAAGATAGCTCTCATTGCAACAATATAATATCAACAAATTCTTACAACCACAAGACAGTCCAAAAGAATGCCTCTGAAAGAACAGCTGAGTCATGGATGTCCAAAGAAAATATTCTGAAATAGCGCCTGAGTCTATTATATCCAAAAAGAATATATGGCAGCAGCATTCGCAGCTTTTCATATGCAACACCAACTGTGGGCTCTCTAAACGTGCTCAAACTGGGCATTTAACGGGATGGCGCGTAGATGTACACAATAGCGCCGTAAGACGCACAGAGTGAATCGCCGCTCTGGCGCTCATTTTGGTCTAAGCGCATTTCTGGAAGTGACAATTGCCAATTTCTGAATATTTTGACAACCAAAAGACGAATCTGTGCTATACCAGAAAGCTGTCAATATCCTGTTTTTCATCGTGAGGTTTCATGGGCGTCCGCGCCCTGTTTTATGCACTTATTTGGTTCAAAAGGATGCATTCGAATGTTTTCCACATCGGCGCAAAACGTAGCTCTCTGAAGGCGCTGTTGTGGACAATTAGCATCATATAGTATAATGGCGCATTGGCCCACCTCAATGGCTCCGGGCAGGGAGGAGAAGAAGGTG